CTACACGCACAACTGACTCGTGAAGAGCTCCAAGGATGTTAGGCGGATGGCACAGACAGCACACACCAGGCAAAACCTTGTTCTGGGTGTAAAAAGAGTGGAAAGTTTTTGCACAAATATGTAGCATGACCCTTTTTACTTTTAAAAGCCTAACATGGAGTTTACCAAGTGTTTGTATATAGTGGGAAAAAGTCCTTAGTCAAGTTAAACTAAGTAGTGCACTAAAAGCAATAACCTGTCCAACTGTAATTCTTATTGCTGAGAAATAATAGCAGAGATCAGCATTTTGCTGCTGAGCTAATGGTACTATACAACCTCATCTGCATAGGCTGAGAATTTTTTAACATGCAGGAAGAAGGAACGTGGTCCAAGATGGTTTTTGTGTGCTTGTTTGCATTGGTGCATTCTCAGCTGTGTGGAAAACTCAGTGTCGCACTCCCTACAAATGTGACGGAAATGAAGTATTGGTGCATTGGGAGCAGGAGCTATTGCACTAGGGGCTCTGAACGCCAACTTTATCCTGAGCCCAACAGCAAAGAAACCTCTCAGTATCACTGGTGCTTTCCTCATGCTGCACTCTCAGCATGAATGTGAAGGTGAAGGAGACCAGTATTTTTAAACCAGGTGCAAATTGCAGAGTCCCAGGAAAGTTCCTGTTAAAGAGTAGCAGCCAGTCAGCATCTACTTGTGCCCAGGTGGTGAAAGAAAAACCACTTCTCCCCTGAACTAGGATAACACTTAAACTAGGTGTGTTGGCCTTTTCCCATAGCAAGTCTAACACGTACTGGAGTTTTTCCAGCAGAGCTGTGCCTGGCAGGGGTATGAAAAGATAGCACCTGGCCCTGGGGGGGGCCGGTCTACCAGTTGCCAGAGCTTGGCTCTGGTGGCAGAAAATCTCCTGTCATCAGTGTTATCCTCACCGGGGAGTCTGACCGCTGTCATGTAGCAGCCAACCTGGCATGTAGCTTTAACTTAAGCTTTATAAAGCCATCTTCAGCTTTGGGGTTCGTGCCAGAGGAAGTCTCTTGGGATTGTTACTTTAGGAAGTGCAAGTTGATAGCCCTTCCGGAATCCTTGTAATGTTACACTAATAACTTAGTGTCACGTATCAGCCAACAAAGCATTTTCTCCTCTTCAGTGGCATGCAGTTACAAGACTGAGGCAGCTGGTTGTTTTATGATCCCTTAAATGGTTGTTTGGAAACATAAAAAACCAAACCTGTACTGATGCTGATAAAAATAGGAAATAAAGTAGTATCTTAACTTGAACATTCCTGTCACGCTGGTTTACTGAGAAACATGTATATGGTTAAAACCGGGAGGGAAACACTCCAAGGTTGTTAAGTTTCTGTAGCATCAGACCTATTAGTGACACCCTCATACAGAACTACAGATGATCCAAACGTATATTCTTCTTAAAGATTACTTTAGGAAGAAAAGCAAAGCGTGCACAGTGTTGAACATCCTGCATGTGGTTAAAAGAAGAGTCCGCCACCGAAAAGTTTCTGACCTAGAACATTATCTTTCTGAGAATTTAAATGTGGGGTGTGGTTATGGGCACTGAAGGTTGGAGAGTTAATGTAGCACAATTCTTTAACACTGTTAAAGATTGGTTTGGCTCTGATTAGGCTGGATGTCATTGCAACTAAAACTTGAATCTTGCTGTAGGAAGATAGCATGCAAGCTTTTTCTTCAAACTCACTGGAGCTAATGCTGTTATCTTAGACAAGAATGGCTGAAGTTCAGCTTCAAATGACAAACCCTGACCTTGCAAATAGTGGTTTTGTTTTTTTGTATTTTTGTTGGGTTGGGGTTTTTTTAATAAGTAATGCATTTGGACATTCAGTTTATAGGGGTCTCTGGCCAAGGGCTGCTTGCCTTTTGTACTCCATGGCCAAGTAGATTATCAGCGCTTTGCTGTGCCATGTCCCAAAGTGGTGACATGTTGTTGCCTTCTTACCCTTGGTGTCAAGGCAAACCCAGTGTCATGGGATAGGTACTCTGCAGCTGAAACTGGACTGGAGAATTTTGACTTGCTGAAATATCACTGCTAAGTGCCTACTTCCATTTGCTAAAACTGTTCCAAGGATCTCTACCATCTGTCACCCTCTACTGTCGTCCAGGGGTCAAGTATGCTTGTAGAGCTTAACATTACTGCATGGAGGGGGAAAGCAGGCAAGGGAAAATATAAAAGTGTTCTGTGACCTGTCATTCATAAGTAGGTCATTACCATGCTTTTACCTGCAGACATGTTGTACACGGTGTAATTCTGGACTGCAGGCTGGTGTGAACAGCTCTCAACTCCATTCACACACAAGTTTGGCACTGTTCCACTAAACAATCTGGATCCAAACCGGGCAAAGGGACGGAAATGGCTGGAGGGATTGCTAGACAATCTCTTGTTGTGGATTAGTTGAGGGCGAACAGTCATTCTGTAGCATTTGGTACTGTTGAGCAAGAGGTATCTGGCAGGTGGCCAGAGCAATGCGCTGGAATAATTGAATCTTCCTGGGAGGACAAATTTAAGATGCTGAAGAGATGCAAGCCATTCTTCAGCTACTTGATCTGTCCTTGGGGCATTCATCTCAGGATCAAGACTTCCTCTCACTGCACTCAACACAGACCTTCTGCTGCCTGAGACTGGACTGGCATGGGCCCAGCGGAGGTGCTTGCAGCTCTGCCTGCCCTTCACATCATACAGGAACCCTTGTCAGCAGGCTGGTTCAGTGATCAGACAAGATGACCGCGTAAGTGAGCCGCTGCTCAAGACTGAACTGGAACAAGCCAGGTGCCAATGCTGCTAAAAGAAAACTCAGAGGAGCCTGCAGCTCTACTGCAGTCTTGCCTAAAGATAAATTGCCCACACTGGGTTGTTTGCACTCCTGGAGTGCTCCTGTCTTTCTTGTGGATACTCAGCTCCTATGCAAATGTACAACTCGCTAAAAGCCCCCATTCCATCTTCTTGGGGCTTTCCTGGCCCTAGCAGCATACGTCAGCTCCTGACTGGACTACCATGCTGCACCTCTGCATGCAGCCAGGAGCTTAACTCGTACCCAATATAGCAGCCCAGCTACAAAGAGCACGTCAGCCCTGCATGCAGCATGTGCAGCTGACTCCCCGTGGAGACTTAGCATCATATTCAAAGCTCCCTATTGAGAACTATAGTAACGCCTTCGCTTCTCAGACACAATGCAACAGTCTAGATGCAAAAGTCCCTGCACAACGCTGAGCTTTTGTGGGGGTTGGTCTCAAATCTGCTGAATCCTAATGGGACTTGGCCCTGCCAGAAACCTCACCAGTTGCATTTCACAAGCAAGGCAGATGCTGCTTTTTTTCAGTAAGTCAAAGTTTAAAATGCTCAAATTTTCATCTCCCAAGGAAGAACAAGCTTTGCATGGTGAATTTCAGCCTCATCACTTACTATACACAGAAGATGCTTTAGGGTTGTATAAACCTGAATAATATTCTGACCTCAAGGCCTTCATTGTTTCAGCTCCATATAGACTGTGCCTTTGTATCCAGCACCACTTACTTCATGTGGTGATAAAGCATCATTAGTTGCTAGGAATGGGATCCAACTCAAGTTTTGTCCTATGGGACTGATGTTCCACTTGAGTTTAGGCGGATTAGAGCCAGGTACAAGCAGTCTGGGTTTGGGGCATGAGCACAGGACACATGATTTATACACTGGAGAAGAGTGTTCTTTAATCTCAGTTTTTCATTTGAAGAGGTAGTTAATGTGCTGATCTGCACCCCTTTTCCATCCTTGTCTGTTCTGGGGTAGCCTAAAAGGGTCAGGTGAGGGTTCATCAAGATTGTCCCCAGGAACCTTCCTTCTTAGATACTTTTAAGTGTGGGCAGGAGGTGGGGCTTCTTGCTTGTTCAGTTTTGTTTTCATGTGCGCATTCTTCTGCATTTCTGACTGGCTGCAGAGGTAGGATGTGCTGTTACCACAAGAAAGTGGTTTGCCTCACTTGAGCTTGGAAAACACCATCTCCAAAGGCCTGTTCTCAAGAGACTTCCCAACCAGCTTTGGTTTGCTTTGCTTTTTTAAAAATGCATTTTTGCTGCCTTGGTGCAGAGTTCTGGTGCTGAGCAAGAGGCAGAAGTTAGTGCCAGATAGCTTCAGCTTAGGTAAAAGATGACCTTATAAGACATGGCTTAACAAACACCCAGCGTGCAGCTCTCCCATCAGCTGGAGTAGGCTTGCCTTTCCACAGTCAAACCCGACAAAATAGTTTAGCTCGCAAGCATTAAAATATTATTATCCATCTGTTTTTTGATGATTCGGTTCCAGGCTGAGCCAGCGTTAAACTTAAGAGATGTCACTTAAATATATGTGTTACAGGGCACTTGCAGAATAGGCTGTTATGACCACAAATGCAAATAGCACCTGACCAAAACCACTCGAGCTGTAGACTCCTGCTCTGAGATCTCCCTCAGAAGCAGACAGAAGTACAGAAGATAAAATACCCAACACGAACAGGCCTCTGATTTCACAAGACGGAGATTGTAGAAAGAGTGGAACTTGTGTGCACACTGCATGTCGGCACCAGGACTCCAAGCCAGTGGTCCAAGTAAAATTGTGGAAACAAAACATGCCAACGTCTGCCTGAAGACTGAAGGCCCCTCTGTGTGCTGTGAAAGAGGAGTGCTCTGTCCAAAAATGGTGCGCAATGCAGTGAGACAGAAGCTGTCCAGTCAAGTGTTGATTCTTTTTAACATCTTGGCATGAGAGTGTTTATGAACATTAAAACTGTTCAGTGCAACAAGAGCCAAAAGGAAGCTGGCCCTTGGGAGGCAGGACTGGCAGAAAGGGCCTGTTGTAATGCTCTGTGCTGAACACGCAGCAATAATAGAAAATGGTTGCTTATTTCCTGAAAGTATTAGTTTCCCTTCACATTATGCAAGTGTGATCACCCCACATTTGAGGTACAAGCTCTGGCTGTAGATTCCAGTTACTACCAGTTTTCATTTATTTAAAAAAAAAAAACACCTGGCTCCAAAGATGTTATTGATCATATTTATTGAGATTAAATTTGCTAAACATCTGAAAGAATAAAGTGATAGAGATTCTTCATACACTAGAGACAGCTGTCAAGTCTTTAGTTGGGTTAAAAGAAAACAAGTCTGATGCACCGTTACACCTTGATTCTGTAGGACATTTGAGAAGAGCTACTTATTTAAAAAATACCAATAAAAAAAAAAAAAAAATCAAAGATGACATACACCACTAACCATTCCAAGTATGATATGTTCTAAAAATGTAGAAATAGGACCAGATCTACAGACAGAATGATGCCCTGTGTATTAGCAGACAGAGGGCTCTCGTCTCGTTTAACTGGAAAGAATTCTCCAAACCAAAACAAGGTCCGAACCATTATAACTAACTTTCAGATGCAGGTTGGTAGCAGCAAAAGCATGCTTGACAGGTGCTGTTTAAGAGGATCCCTTGCCACCTTCTCTGGGAGACTAGATCAGCAGGATTGAAGTACCACCGAGTTGCGAAGAATCCTGATTAGATTTCAAGCAACCCCATGCTAAATGCCACCAGTGAGATTGCCATTGAGAAAAATATCCATCTTTACTAAAAAAATCTGCAAGCACTGTAACTTAAACACTTCACACGTTTTGGTCAGTTTACAAGTGTCATCCAATGCAATAGCAATTAATTTAGGACAGGAATTTAAAACGAACAATTTGGCACATGCTATAACAGACATCCTTCTTTAAAGAGGTGAAATACACATTTGAACAGATACAAGCTTGATAAATATAAATAGCCTGGTTTTAACAGATGTACAGTACAAGATTCATTCTCTCCAGATTCAGACTCCAGCAGCATGTGTAGGTGTACTTGGCTGGTTGAGACCTATAGTTGAACAAAGCCATCCTGCAAAATCCACTTCTTCAGCTTCTGAGCTCTTAATGAAAGCATGAATCTGTAAGAGACGGAAGGAACCAAAAAAAATTAAAGATAACGTAATTTAGATTAAAGCATTTTAAGCAATTGTTGCCTCGCATGATCGTTAACATGGAAAGAATGATTTTAAAAAAAAAAATCTAATTAGCTTTTACTGTTCATGCTGGGTTTTTGTTATAGTTTTCACTGCACTCAGCTTGAAACACTTAGTCAACCTCCTTCTCCAGGCCTGGTACTAGTGTAATGAAGCAATGCATGAGCTGCTAAATACCACAGAAAAACTCATTCTCCAGCACTACAAACAGTGTCCAATTAAGAGATAAAAGTCACTGTAGCATACTGGTAGGGTGCGATTCTTACTTAGAACAGGCAAGGTACAGGGTCTTATGCACTCATCTGTAGTATTAAGGTTTCACTATTAAGTGGTAGAAATAATCTGGTTCCCTTTCTGCAGCCTCCAGTTACATTTAGGTTCTGGAGAGAAAGTTTCAATTCAGCTCGCCTTTGTGCAGCACCAGAAGGCTCCAAATCTACAAGCTGCCCCACGTGATGTGAATCGTATGGCTATGAAGAGCACCAATGTCAGCAGAGTCTGTTTAAGCAGGAGCTTGCAGGACTGGGCCCAGATTCGTGACGTCCCTTGACAATAGCCTCTCATTGGTAAATGGGAGAAGCTGGGTGTTCCTCAAACAACCACCCAGCTACCAATCAAGGAACAAGGAGTTACTCTCTCGGTCCTTTTTACCATCAGTGACTAAACTCAAGCAGCTATGGCAGACTACTACTTCAAGAGCATTGGCACAGTTTAGGGGGTGAATAATTTCTGTTCAGTGTAATTAACAGCTGGCAGGACAACACCAGTCTGAAGTGACAGACCTTCATGGCCAAACTTCACTAGAAGCTCTTGTGCCAAGATCCCTGTGCACAACATGCATAGGACCAAGTGACCACAAACCTGCTGACACGGGATTCCTGCAGAACAGAAGTCCCAGCATGGCCACCTTTGGCAGATTTCCCTGCCCACCTTGGAGGAGGGTCCAGGCTAGGAATATACAGGAGCTGGAGCACAATGCATTGCACTAATCTCTGCACAGCAGAACAGACCCTAGGACAGGGGTGGCCAACCTGCACCACACCTGTCCTAAGTGGCATGTGTAGTCTCTATGTCTGACCCACAGCAGATTGGAGAGAGGGCAGGGAGCACCAGAGGAAGCAGAGCAGCAGCTTGGCCAGGGAACAGAAAGCAAAAGAGCAGAAAGGGAAGGGGCACATAGGTAGGACGTGGAGCTAATCTGCCCCCACTGTGCTAAGAAACTCTTCAAATTGACTGGTACAAGCTGCTACATTGGTGCTCATCAGCCACAGGTTCATGGCAGATGAGAGAGGTCTTAGGGTGGGCGATCTTTGCCCCAAACAGGTCAGCTTGGAGCTCCAACTTGTACAGAGCTACAGCATAGTGTTTAGCTAGGACTGTTTTCTCTTAATAAAAAGAACTGAATCAAGAGCTTAAACTCACCATAAGTTGCTTCAAATCTGCTCTCTCTGCTGGGTTTTTTATTAAGCTAAGACGACACAAGATGTTATAGTTAGCACTTACTTTGTTCTTTTAAAAACAAGATCAATAGCATGTTATGCTGAACAACTGTTCAGTCCTCTAGCTACGTTGATCGTTATACAACCAAGCACCACAGAGGCACAGTACTCATCAGTGCATTTAAGGGTCTGTAAACAATTATCCTTTTTATAGGGGTGCATACAAGTAACTTCACATATAAAATCATCCTGGGAGGCATCTGTGAAATGCTCCTGTACAGGCAAAGATAAGTAGCAGGAACCCAGCCAGTAAGGCCACATTTCTGTTCAACTCAACTCAATGTGAGGATGCAAAACTCCAGTTTTCTGACCCTGAAAATCCTTTTCAACACCACGTGTCTGGCAAAAAGGACCAAATGCAACTCTCCTTCCAAGTATTAACAGCTGGAAGAGACTGCTGGCACCAGGGGTTTTGCTAACATCTTTGCCTTCCCTTGGGAGCAGAGACTCGTACCTGGAGCTAGTCATGTCTCCCTCAGTCCAGGGAGTAAAGAACAGATTTCTGAGTCTGTTCACTTCAGTTCATTTTCCAGGTGTAATGACCCATGCCAAAGTGCATCCTTGTAGGAGAACATCCACCCAATTCAGTACCACTTGGTTACTAGCATGTCCCAGGGCACTCAAGCTTTGGATAAGAGAGAATTCCCCGTGTAAACAAGGATAGCAGGGAGACATCAGTTCACTGAAACATGGATAATCCCTCACTACTGCAGGTACTTCTCCCTAGTGCACAAGGCTTCAGTAGCCCTCCTCACTGCATGCCCAAAGCTTGGTAATGAGGCTTTGCAAGCTCTGGCCACATCGTAGTGCTTCACTCTCTTTTGCAATTGATATTACATAAAAAGCACCAAGAGCATGAGAAACATCCACTCAGTTCCATCAGAGAACTGTTCACATTATACGAAGAAAACAGCTCTCTTAGTTTGGAGTCCTTGACCAGTGAGCAAAAGCGTCTCAAAGACGGAGCTTAACAGCATGTACACTACTCACCATTTATTCACAAAATCTTGAAATTCAGGACCGAAGACACCATTGGGCAATTTTGGAGGTGGCTGAAAGAAAAACAAGCGATTAAAGCAACATACATATGTGCTGCGGTAACTCTTGGGGAGGTGGGGGGGTGGGGGTTCTCCCACTTGTATTCCAAGTCTCCAGCCCAGGGCTACAACAGCAAGACCCCTATATTATTTCCATTCACGCCTGAAGTTCTGGAGCTATGTCAGCATGCCTGGGCTCCCAGCTGCAGTCTCATTTGTTAGGCAGACAGCACAAGTAGGTTCATTTTGATTTCTGGCTCCGCTTTTATGTCAACATTTTCACAACAGTCTTTTGCCCCCCAAAAGAAAAGCCTGTTTCATTCTGTCCCGGCACCCTTAGTGCCCATCATCACAGGCTCTCCAAAATTTCTGCTTTGTTTTGGACAGTGCCATAGGAACTTCAGGATGCACAGAACAAATACCACAGAGTCGTCCTGGGCACACACTTCAGTGCCTTGCCATCTTGCACGATGTAAAGATTACCAGGCTTGTTAGCTGGTGTTTGAGAGAACCTGGTCTTGGTGGAGGACAGCCTGTAGCAGTATGGCAGGGGCTGAACCATTTTATATCTGGCGTCTTCAGGACCGGCTTCCAAGGCCCGTGAGAAGTAGGTACATTGCCATACGATTTCAGAGAGGGGAAAAAAAAAAAAAAAACCACTCCTCCCATTCATAGATCCCACTATTGTCCAATTTGTGGAAGGGCTTTAGCAGGAGCTAGATTATAGCTACTCAAGTGATGTGTGGCTGAGGGGGGAAATGTCACCGCAGTGTATGTGGGCTATGTACACCACACTTTCCACTTAGATGTTGCGGGACAAGTTTTGCCCCCCTCTCCTGGATGCCTGCACGTGTATGCAAAGGAAGAGGAGCCTTGTGACTCAGAGCCTTCAATTCACCATGTCCTGCAGGGCTAAGACTGCTGCTTACACTTTCCTGCTAGGCCAGTAGAACTAGCAGGTTATGAAACAGAGCTCATGCTGCACCTTCCTGCACTATAATCCTTTTGCAGCATTTCTTTTTGCTGGTACGGGCCTATCGAGCATCCTTGGCTAGACACGATACTAGCATTTTAAGTACTGCGTCCACTAATCCTGCTTAGGATGAATCTGTATGATGATGCTTCAAGCCCTGGCAGCTACCTGGGACTGTCTAGTGACAGATGCCATCAAGTGCAGCTAAACCACTAGGGAATAGTGCAAAGCCTGCTGGCGTGCCCTCTGGGGTGGACTCCACTGCTGTCCCCAACAACCTCCTCCTCCAAGTCCCTTGCTAGAGGTCTCCTTGGCAGCAATGCCTGTGAGAAATTCACAGCAGCCTCACCACTGGCAGACATACTAAGAGCCACGTGCTGCCCAATGTTTCCTTCCAGTTCTCACATATTCACCCAGTTGTCCCAGACAGCGAGATCCTGGAGACAGAGCCCATCTGCATTTTTACAACACCCAGGACACGGGGTCCTGATCATGAATTGCGCCCCATGGCACTACCCCAGTATAAACAGCATTGGGATCATGCAGTCTCCAGTAGAGGAAAGCTGCTTTTTTAAAAGGCCATTCACACATTGCTGTGGGGAAACTATGCAGCAATGCAGCACTGTGTTGTCTTCAATTCAGATGCACTCTCTGCCTAGCAGTTCCCTTCGCTGGGGTTTTTCCACAAGATGGTTGAACCAGATGCTGGTGAGTTCCCTGCACAGTTCCCAGCAATTTTTCAGAATAAGATGGCCATTAACAAGGGTTTAAGCCTCATGGCATACATGCACTAGATTCTTCTGTTTGTCCTTCAAGTCAGGGGAGGCAGGTTTACATACCTTTCTAGCCCAATTTGAATAAATTAACCCAACAATTAGTAAACTCCTAGAATTCAAAATCCTTAACTAAAATCCCGGCACTGTGATAAAGAGGGAAGAGCTCTCTGATGTAAGCCTGTGCATTATCGCAACTTCCAATGCTGTTGGCCTACACATGCCAATTTAACTGATCCAGTAGCAAGGATCTTATGAACACTGAGTCTTGGGAGTAAAGTTATGCAGGCACATACAAATTATTGATCTCAAGGAAACTCCTCTCAAATGACTCCGGCATGCATGCGTTTGCAGGACCAAGGGGTGCCAAGTAAGACAGTAAACAAGCAGCATAGCAAGAATTAAAAACATACCGTGTTGCCATGGTAATGCATTTGCACCCACATAGACTGCAGCATGAGCAATGTTAGCAGCAGGGGTCACAGATTTGCAGACGCTCCAATTTTGAAATGTGCCTTGTCTACATATTGCTCAAGAGCTATACAAATGCAAAAATCACCAGCCAAGAACTTGCAAAAGGCAAAAAGCATTTCAGTTATAAGGGTGATGAAAATGTGTGTCTGTCATTTGGTATCAAAAATATCACCCTTCTCTCTGCCTCTAAGGAAGCAAGGTATCCATGTTATTTGGGAATAACAAAGGGGGGGTAGGGAATTAAATATCAGTTAATAGAAAAAAAATGGGCCATGCTGTTCTGTACATTTTTAATCCAAAGAATAAGATTCTGTAATGACACCCAAATGCTACTACTTTTTTAGTTACCCAATAAAAGGCTTTGCAAAGCTGCCTTCAACAAGTGCTTTAATTTTGTCATCCATTTCAACAAAGGCATACCAGTAATTCAAGAGAGAGAGGGGGGAGTTCAGTCTCTTAGAAACAGTGCAGTAGTTTAGACAGCAACTCAGATAAAATCCAGGATCTGTGAAGAATTAAAACCTCACCTGTGTTTAGTAACAGTGTTCCAGAGATCCCTACATGCAATTAACTCCTTTCTTATTTAATTCAATTTCTTTGGTTTTGGTAGCTAATGATTGTTCACCCCTTGATATTGCAATTTCTCTCACGTTTTTCATGGTAGGTCAACTGTTGTCCATAAACAGAGGTAGAGGCAATACAGACAAAAAGCACTGGAGTTACATGAGCTTTAGTTATTACTGCGCAAATCCTGGTGGTAGGTATTAGCAGGCACTTCCCTTGCAAGACAAAACCCTACTTCAGATTTGATATAATCTGCAGTAAAGCACTGATTGTTCATAAGAGTAAAACAAACAAAGGGAGAATTTAGCAGTCAGCTTGAATGTATTAACTGGCACCACCTTGCCTTGCCAGAGGCATGTTCTGCCAGGGAAATTCCATGGACTTGTTCAAAGGATGCGATGGATTGAGCCACATTTATCATCCCAGATGTAAATCAATTCAAGCCAATGCATTTATGACAGGGAAGAGTCTGGCCTATTGTATTAAAGGGAGTTATAAGGCTTAGTTTACCCTTCACATTAAAAGGCACCTTAAATCTTGACCTGGAAATGCTGACTTCTTTAAAAACTTAAAACTGATAGTTCTTTACCTCGTTGACAATGTAGTCCAAAAGTTCAAAGATTGCCATTGGCGGTCTGCTATCTGGTCCGTAGGCTGGAAAGGGATTTACAGAAAAATAAGAACAGTGAGATTAGATTGGCTTTTGAAAGCATGTTGCCCCAAGGGGGAAAGGTCTGAGTTTTGCCACCCACATTAAGAGACCCCAATTAACTCCTTCCAAGGATATCCACAGAGCTGGAAAGGAACATGCATCTGCCTTTCCCCAAAGTGTCAGCTTTTTTTTTTGTTCCACACGTTTCCAGACTGTCTGCCGCTGCCCACCCAAGGTTTAGACAGGGGAGTGGGACAGTGATGGAAAGGCAGCAGAGTCATGCCATCATTTAATAAGAAGGATCTTCGAATCACAGATTTCCATTCTCTTGTGCGGCAGGTGAGTCAGGTCACTGGAATGCAGTTGTTTTTTCCCCCAGTGGTGTTTATGCAAAGCGGATACATTTACTGCAGAATGCATGCCTCTGATGCTTTTTCTGCCCTCTCAGCAAGGTTGGCTAGGATCCAAAACAGCCTCAGAATACAAGCTGCAATTCTTGGAAAATATAAAACCAGATTAGATAAAACATGGCAATGCTTCATCTAATCTTACAGTGATACCCCATGCCTTAGCTCTAGGACTTGCGACATGTATTTGGTCAAAGTTTCCAGTTGTTAAAAAGTTCAAAACCATGCAATGAAGAAATCTGTGCAAACATGGGATCCATTTATGGGAGCTAGGGCATACTAGAGTTGTATCAGTGACTTACAGCTCAGTGGTCGGCCAGGAGCTCTTTGCCTTGGTGAGGTCTCAGAAACTGGAGAGTCTCCCTCCACTACACAGCCAAACATCAGCTCCAGCTCCTTGGAATCAGGAGGGGGAATTGGGTACCGGCCAATCGCCATTTCTACCAGTGACAATCCCATGCTCCAGATGTCCGACTGCACTGAATAATGAGTACCTTGGAGTCTTTCTGGCTATAAAAAGTAAAAAGGAGACACAGCAAACCATTATAGCAGTAGAAAAATATTAGGCTGCAATGACCTGGATAACACAACTTCTGAACTTGATTGGATTTAAAAAATATTTAAAAACACAAACAAAAACAAAAAAGCTTTCTAGCTGGTTAGCCATTCTTTATTTCTTTATTTTAGAGCGTGTGTCTGGAACCTGGACTTCACGAGTTCTACAAGCCTCAGGTTCTCTCGGATGAAAATCAAGAAGCCACAATTACAATTTCACTATAATAAAAACAAAACCAGAACATCCCGCCCATCCACTCTCCCACATACCGAGTTAGAGAGTCAGTAGCACAATCCAGATACTCCAGTTACATTTCTGAAAATTCATCTCTAACAAAAAAAAGTGCTTGGTTTGTAATTACAAACCAAATGTTCTCTCTCATTATAAAACACTAGTTTTTGGCTACCACCTAAATATTGCAACTAAATTTGCTGCTGGCTTCCATATGTCAGTCGAGTGATCAAGACTTTACTTATTTCTGCTTAAAATGTTGTTCTTGTTTGTTCCAAGAGAAGAGGAGAGACACCTGTGCAGCAATGCATTTTAGGAAACCTTAAATTCAAGCTCCATTTCCAAATACTGTAGGCACTGTTCAAAGGCCAACAGTTTCCATGTGCCCTGGGAAATACCAGTGCCAGATTGTGTCTGCTCTGGACAGAAACAAGGCAGAGGATGAAGCTGCCTAGAAACCCTTTGCAGGGCTAACAGGCCCCATGGCAATGAAACCGAAGCCTGAATATGCTAATTTACTGTACTGCAAATTAATACATTGCTAGTTATGCAAAGTGACCGAGGATATGGTGATACATGGACCACAGCAACTATATTTTAGCCAAATGGGTAAATTGTTACAATTTAGTTAGATGCATTAAAACACCATTCCAAAAATGATTCACTTTTAAAAATGAAAATAAACTTTAAATTACTTAAGCATGCTTCTTGTAATAAGTGAAAGCAAATACTTATCTAAAACTGAAGTCTACTCATGTATAATAAATATCTTCTATGTATTGATAAGATTTTTACTGTAATATTTATTCTTTGTGAAGTATATTGATTTCACATATTAAAGCATTCTTCAGAAGTGGCAGGGTCTTACTCAAACATACATTCTGCTTGTACAAGGTAAAAAACGTAGAAAACTATTTTTAAATCTTCCAAGTGGAATAAGTGTATTTGTTCTAGCAGAGTTCAATAGCACTCAAGTGTTACAGGTTCAAGAGATGTAAACATAATGGTACTGACTTATGTTTAAGACTTGAGCAGAAAGCGTTAATAATAATTTTAAAAAATCATAAGAGATAACAGTCCAGGTCATGTTGTATACGCTCTTCTGCCAACCTAGTCTTTGAGGAAGTAGTAAGCAAACATGTCGGGGCTTCTTTAATAGATGGAACAGCATCTGTTAAAAATAGTTTCACTTTCAGAAATGGAATTGGATACAAGAGAAAAATATCAGTTCCAATAGGGGGACCCACATCTGGCCATCCCAAAAAGTTAGAGGCATTTTCAAGATATCCAGGGATGTCCTAATCTGAACTCCTGCTCAGTGCATAAGACTCAAATATGCAGTTGGCAAAAAAAAAAAAAATCCAACTCTCTCGTTTAGTTTCTATACTAGCCTTTTTAGATTGTGTAAGTTAAATCACCCTTTGAAAGGTTGGAGGAAAAAAACAAGCAAAACATTAGTTCACACAGTTCCCATGCACACATTGCGCAGGGCTCTCTCAAAAATAAAAGTTACTGTCCATTTCCTTTGGCTCTGCATTGAACCTGGAGCTGTCCCGAGGGTAGAAAGACTCGACTGAGCATTCAAAATAAGTTTAGTCTCAGATTCCCATGGGATGTAAGAGTGGCTAGAATCATGAAACTATGTCGTCACTGCAACACTGGTAAATTGGCATTTTATTTACCAACCATTTATTATTTAATCAGGCCACACACATCTTCTCAGATGTTCCTCTTGCATTACAGGCATAGTCCTTTTGACAACTTACTAGATTTCTAGGAATCACAGAGATACAAACACAGAGATAAACTGTAGTTTACTAGATTAGAGGAAAAACCAACAGTGAGTGAATAATACCAGACAATGCAACATTTGCCATCAAAATGACCTACACGGCATTAGTCCTGACAGAACTGCAAAAAAGAAAGTGTCCCCACGTAAGCTCCATGAATGTATAGAATGAGATATCACTTTGTGATCTTGTCTGCAAGATTACATAGTCCAGAGAAACCTTCACCCCTGGGTTGAAAACATGTTAAAGGAGACAGACACTATGCAAACCAGTAACTGCTTGCAAAAGGATTAGGTTTAAATACCATAACAAGGAATAAGGGGCATCACAGTCCTGATTTGGTCTTTGGGGGGCAGGGTGGTGGTGGGTGGGGAGGAATAAAAAAGGAAAGGGTCCCTGGGAACTGGGCTAAATGTTAAAACCCGTGGACGTGACATCAGTGGGAAAGAAGCTATTTTTCCTCTCTCGAGTTCCTCCTGCTAGGAAGGGAAAAAAATGCCAGCCACACAGTTAGGAGCAGAAGTGGTGGAGCTGTGACAAAATGCAACAGCCTCCACAAGGCTCCGCGTTGAAACAGTGCTCGGCTGACACCTGTCTCAGATGACAAGCTAAGAAGGTAGCGTCCGGTGGGCGGAAGAGCAAGATCCATTCTGAGCAGAAGTAAGAGAATACTATCCTTCCCCTGCTTTTTAAAGCCCCTTCTCAAATTTCGGCACTACAGAAGAACCGCCCAGGAGCCCTGGTTTCATGAGTTAATAGTTTCCATGGAACTGACAAAATACATTAGAGTAAGAGGCATACAATGATTCCCCTCTCGCATAGTATAGGGCTTTCCTAAGTAACACTTAAGCCCTATAAATGAGTTTCCAGAAGAGAATACTCACTAGTCCCACACCAGCCACTATAGCACTGTGTTCATTAGCTGCTCCTTTCCCATCTCTAGCCCCCAAACTTCCCACTGTTGCTACAGCCTTTAACTACCCCAAGAGTAACAGTGATTGGAGTGGTAGCCTAGGCAGCATCTCATCTATACTAGCAACTATAGCAATGGCCAGGATGAGGTGGAAGACAAGTGGACTTCTGTAAGGAGGACAAACTTCAAAACACCTTCTTTTGGAGACATGTGCACAAGACCCAAATGCATTAGCCACTGGATTTCACAATACAGATACATCAGCATCTCTTTGGCAATGTTGTATTGCAACATAAAATACAGCTTTGCACTTTGATATGATGCTCTAATATTTTGGTGATGCAAGAAGAGCCTTAGTAATACCCATGAATAATGCTGCCAATGACAGTAGTTGTTCCCTGTTTACTCAGTGGAAACTTGTACCACAACACATAGTAAACCCAAAGCTAAAAGATCCGTACTTACAGACATGTAGGAGCGCGTGCCAACAAACGAGTTTGCCATAGAATCTATCAGTTGTCCACTGACACCAAAATCACAAAGCTTGATTTCACCTCTAGAGTTTACCAAAATGTTAGATGGTTTAACATCTGGAAAAAAATGAATGGATATATAAAATGGGAATAATTGACAATGAAAGTAACATGAATGGTGAGTTACCATGCATCTCCCTTCGTTCTCTTTTAACTTGAACTTTTTATCGGGTTTGATTTCTTTCCTTGGGAGGATTTGGGTAGACACAATCCCTGGTCCAGGACTATTCCATGGGTTCTTTTCACAGATACATGAACAAGAAGAAACTTTTGAATGCTCTCTTGTAAATGCAGGCACACAACGTTAAGGTTTGTTTTAAATTTAAACATCACCCAATTTTCAGGGTTTTGAATATTCGCTTGTTGGCATCTACAAACTTCTTGTAAGGACTTGATCATTCTAGTTTCAGATTCACTGACACATACTTTTAAACCACTCCAGTTATACCACACTTTTTGCCTAGAAATATTCAAGTCAGGATCCACACATTTTAGTTTACTAAGCCCAATAAATTAAGTGCTGCTATGGGCCATATCAACCCAAATCAAGTCACTGTAAGGAAGTGAAAGTCTTTATTTATTATCTCTTAGCAGTTACATACCAGCTGTGTAAGTGGATTATTTAAAATAAAAACAATTTTTACTATTAAAACACTACACTTAAAATAGTTAGAGGCCCTGTCCACAGACCTCACAAAGTAGTTTTGGGGGGGAGGGAGTCGTTTTTTGTTGTTGTTGTTTTTTTTTAAAGGTTTTACATGCAGCACTATTTCCCTAAATAGAAACTCATGAGGGTCATTGGTAACTAAGCAACTAATAACTGACTAGCTGAGAATGCTGAAGTACTGGGAACACTTCTTTTAATATTTTGTTGTGGGTGTAAGAAGTTTCTCAGTATAAAACTGACTACTTGTCTAGTGTCATTACCCATGCATTCCCAGGTTTATCAAGCAGGCAGCCATAATTGCAAAAGTAATGTCACAGATTAATTTAGAAAATGGCTATATATTGGTTTAGAGTCATCCACTCCGCCTCTCAGAAATCCTACACGTGGAATTCCTACTGCAATCTTGGCCACACTGACTGTCCCTTGTTACTTAGTCTCATGACTCAGATCAATGCATTCCTTAAAAAATGGCAGGGAAAAATATGGGCTCTCTCTCTTTTTTTTTTTTTTTAAATAGATTTCATTATAAAAAATGCAAGATACTCTGTGCCTTAAGCAAACGGGAAGGACTTAGATGACAGACCATTGGAAATATCTGTAAAGAACGAAGCTAGTGAAAACCAAGAGTAGTTTTCAGGAAACAGACTACCAACTCAAGCTGGGCAAATGCAATGTGTATGGAGTGCCTATAGTGATCTTTTTTGGTCTGTTAATAGAGCGTCACTTTTCATTTTCATAAGCCACTGGAGAAACCTCCAACCCCATGCGCATTTTCTTCCACATCTCATTTTAAAATGTCCATAACTCCAAAATATATTCTAGGCAGCTAGCAACATGCTGACTGCGAAGTCTGGCGCCAGTTCACATCACAAGCAGGGTTACCTCAAAGCCGATTCCAACAGAGCACCCCCTGAAACACGGTCCTATCCATAAAAGTTTACACCCAATTCAAGAAGGTGCATAGACCAGTAATGAGAAGATGTGGGATATCTTGTTAAGGTAACTGTTTTTCATTTCTAAAAGGAAACAGATCCACAGCTGGCGCGATCTACACCAGCTGTACTCAACCTCCCAGCCCTGTGGGCCAGATCCCACGGACATGCTCACTCCGTGGGCTGTCCCAGCACACGGTCCATCTGTGGGTGCAACCTGGCACTCCTGCACACCAGAGCCAGCTGTGGAGCAGCCTCACACACAGGTCTATGTCATGCAGCCTGTGGCAGAGCAGTGGTAGCATTAATTGCTCCCAGAAAGCAATTAAATGCTGCCACTATCCCGCCCCCCCGGGGGTTAGAGGACATGGCCCTATGTGCTGTAAACAGCCCACAGGCCAGAGGTTGAGCACCACTGATCCGTACCATTCATCGTTTCTCTTACCCTTAATCGCACCACCTTTCAGAATAACTGTAGTCCTTTTAGGTAAACTCCCAGCATGTAATCTGCCTTAGGCCCAATCAATTTAATTCTCTCTCTCTGAAGTTTTTCCACTTCTACCATATCCTTTTTTTTAAAGAGGAGAATCAGATGCAAAAAACACATTAGTCTAGGTGAGCTAGCAATCCATGAAAGCTTAACATTTTCCATTCCCTTCAGAGAACTGCCTGGAACAATCTTTAACATTTTTCTTTAGAGCTCACACCTAGTTCAGGATTCATTTCTGCACCTCACTAGTTTAAGCTGAGCCTCATGTGCTTCACTTACCTAGCTCCATTTGGGTTCCCTGTGGTTCTTCACTACCTTTGAACAACCTAACTGAAATGGCAAAAACACCACCACCCTCACTTCATTCCCTTCCTCCAGATCAGGATTAGCACTATGCATCTGTGTAACAATAGTGCCTATTAGACAGAGTCCTGCTGTGATAAGTCTCCGGAAAGCATTATACATATCAGATGCCCTAGTGCTAGATTTCAGAGGCACTCTATTATTAAGAAGCTACTCTTTTTTTTTTTTTTTTTTGCGGGGGGTGGGGGTGGGGAGAAAACTGCAGTTTCTCTTCCTGTGCTGTTATCATACTCCTACTTTACGGCCTAACAATTACACTGCAGAGTTTTACACTGACCAGCAGCTGCAGTCAATTATGTTAATGCAAACAGGCAGTGCTGTAGGGCTTTCACTTTCAAAGTATCCATTCAATACCTATTATGTAATTATGCCCTAACTCTCCCCAATGTCTAAAGTAACATACTGATGATACACTATCATTCAATTTAACCAGGCTGTTTCTTGAAAGGATACAGATACAGAATTTAGGCCCATACTATAGATTCCGGTTTTCATTACACCTGAAAATAAATTGCTAAATCACTCCAATACTTTGTTTTCAAATGAGAGGTTAATAGAAGCAGGATGTTATTTGTTCGTTTGTTGGCCTGTTTCCTGACCCTGCATAAAACATTTAGAAAAAAGCAAAGGAAAGGACTGTGTGAAATTCATGACAGCTCAATATAAAATTGACTATATGGGGGGAGGGGGTGTCCAATTAGAAGTGGCAAAAACATTTGACATGCAAAGCTTGCTCTGTATGAAGAAGTGTTATTGGTTGAGCCACTAGTGCTTCTTTCACTTGGTGCAAATACGGGAGGGCTGGAAAACCATAACTTTACCAGGATAAGCTAGCTGCACTAAGAGCACTTTATTAATACAGCCTAGAACAGTAACATTCCCATCCTGCTAAGGTGCTTGCAGCATAGAGCTGGCCTTAGCAATCCCAAGCCATTTAATTTAGATTCTCATTAAGCAACACCCTAGCTCCAAGGCCATAGACACTAGGAATTCTCTGCAAAAGTCCAATTAGGAAAGCCTCAAGGGGAAAAAAAAAAAGTCCACACAGGGTGCATCTACATGCCCTACGTCACTGAAGCAATACGCTAGGTTGCCGTACAATGCACTACGGCAGCATAGCAATCACGCAAGTCTACATGCGATTGGCAGCTACTTTGCAAAGCAGTGACAAAAACTAACCATGCACCACGCGAAGTATCAGTGAAAACTAGCCATGTGCTGGTTACTGCACCATGCTTTAGTACTGACAAAAGCAGGTGTCTGTACTCCTTTTGGAAGTACTAAAGTACGGCAATGTGTAGCTGTGCCCACGGAGTAAGTAAATGCCTTTAGCTTAAAGACAGGTGAAATGCTCTGCTTTAAGCCAGTAGTTGGCAATCTGGGTCCTATGGGCCAGGTCCAGCCCATGAAGCCAACAGATCCAGCTTGCAGAGCTGGGGTGCAGCGAGAGCCTTGCCTGCACCGTATGCTGTGGCTGGGTGGCAAGGATCTTTCACAGGTGACAAAACTGGCAGTAGGGAGAAGCAGCAGTACTGGTGGCAGCCAGGGCCTAGGGCTAGCCCACCTTGGAACCCCGCTGGGCCATTCTGGCCTGCCACTGCAAAACACTGTCCCGTCATCAAAGGCAGTGGTCGGCAAAGTGGAGAAGATTTATTTACATATTCAATCCAGGTTTCCCAGATCCTGTTCCATAAGACATTGCACCATACATTATTTGGTAGGTTTACAACAACTCAGGAGCACTTATGCTGAATTAAGCCAGGTCTTCAGCGTTCAGATAAAAGCATTTTTAGCAAGCTGCATTGGCTGGCAACTTTAAATGCCCCTTTTCCCATAACCAGTGCAAAATTTACCTGGTATTTATTTCTGACCATCAGTAAATTCCCGTAAGACAATGCTACACAGCAGCGGGACATGGAATCAGTAGCTTGCTTATATATGGGAGACTGAGCTGGAGTGCTCCAAAGCAAAAAGCTACTGCATTTTGTGCTATCATACCCATAAGCTCATAATCTATGGCAGAGGGCATATGGCCTGTGGGCTGGATACACCCCACAGACCGGACGGTTTGGAGGCAGAGGGCTTCAACTGTAGGCTTTTTTCAAATGTCACCGCAGGCAGAAGTGCTGGCTGGGGTCAGGGTCCTAGCACTCACCTACTTCTCACCTAAGATGGACCATTCCAGTCCAGCCAGAAAAGGTTTCTGACCACTGGTCTATGCACCCTGGGTGCATTACACTAACACAGCATAAAGTAGGAAACCAGGAAGTTTGGATTTAAGTGGACCTCAAATTCCACTTCTTGACACAAGCATATGACAAATTCTCTTCCCATTGTTACCAGAGGCTTGCAGCATTACCTCCAAGTGAGACACTTTTTTATAAAATCGTTTGAAACACTTGGTTCTGCCTAACATCCGATGTCACTACAATTTCTCTACAGAGAGTGTAAGATATAAAAACTAAATGCATTCCTAACCCCGTAAGAGTACAGCATATCCAGGCTAAACTCAAACACACTTTGTATCCCTCTGGTCAGTCGACTGGAGCAAATGGTATGAGGCTGGTAATGAGTAAACTGTTAAGAATGAACATGTGCTGCCCCGTGTACTTGGAGAAAGTCGTTTTGCTGTGCTGCACTCATTAGCTTTGAGGAGGACTTAGATCAGATGGAGAGTTCCCCACTAGCATTTATCCAATTTCTGCATTGTGAAGCCAGCTCTTCCAGGCCATAATCCCACCACATGGGACAGCTGATCCTACAGTTAAGCTGAATATAGACCAAGTAGGATTTAGTGTTGCAGAGTTTTCAGAACAGAACAATATCACTGCCTTCAGTTCTGCCCAACGTCTTTTACCAGGTTTCTGGTATTTGAATGGAACCAAAGGACTTTCACCCTCCGTGCATTATGGGATGCTCCTTGTTCCATGCGATATGTACACCAGGGTTCAGGCTGGGGAACAAAGGCAGTGACATTTTCAAGCTCTGCCCACAAAACTGATCAGCCACAGTCAAAACAAGAAACATGTGGAATAAGGCCACACTCTCCCAGGACACCTTAATTGCCCCCCCACCCCACGCAATATGAACACACCAATGTACTCTGCTAGACTCTTTGGGTTTTGCTTTCCCTTAGGATTTGACACCTTCGTTCCCCAGTATGGGAGGAAGGACACATAGATAGATGCCCATCTGGATGCTGTTAGGCTCCTCCTTTATTTAAGTTTGGGGAGTTATTACCTACCATCATAGATAGACTTTGCTCACGTCACCAAGTGTGAGCACAGCTTGCCGTGTAGGATTCTGCTGGTCACACGACAAGCAGAGAAATCATTAAGAACACCGATATTCAAAGTTTTACTCTGCGCGCCTACACATACAATTCATACTATTTGGCTTTACTACGCAGTAAATTTACTACCTGCATATGCAGGTAATGAACTGACTGTGCAGGAAGCACATCCTACACTGTGCAGTAGATTAGTCTACTGTGCAGTAAAGTATCTTGTGTAGACACGGCCACTGTGAGGCATCTGAGTTCCCTTCAACATGGGTGGTGGAGGGGCTCACACCCCCAGAGAACGGAAGGGCAAGTTCATACCCCACTTGCCTCCCAGTAACTTGTTCACATACCCACTCTTAGCATTTTCTTTAATACACAAGTTCTGTTCAGAAACTGTTCAATCAGCCCAACAAAGAAAGCTGTTTGAGGCCTGATCCAAAGGATCCCGATGCCAGCAGCAATACCCAGGAGCCTATTTTCTGTTCTATACAGCTTCACAAAGCTTATGTGGCAAGATACAATTCCCACCATGTACTAGCTGTGATTTTTTTTTTAAATCAAGTTTCTCCATTAAAACTGCCCTTCTGCTACTGAGCTTGGTATTTAGCAGCCAGCAGTGAAAGCTGACACCCATTATGTGACACTGGTAGCACAGAGACTCTATAAGACACTGCAAATGAGACTCCATTCTGCTGCAAGAGAAACTTAAACAAGAACAGTGTAGCGGCGCAAGATGCAACAGAAAATTTAAACACTGAATGGCCCACTTAAAGACAGTTTTCCTTTCCAGAAGGATCTCCCAAACCCTTCTGAAAGTGTTGCCTGATACCTCCATCAGTGTAGAGGCCAACTAGCGTAGCTCAGCCTGGATTCAGCTCAAACAAAAAGTTACCTACAGAGCCACTAATATCAAAGCAGTTCTTGGTTTCTCAAGCTGTGTATATTTATAAGATCTAAAAGGATCACCACCAGAGGCATGGCTGGATTATTCTTTTTACAACAACTAAATCAAAATGTGGCCAAGAAAACCAAAAAGCAAAACAAACCTTAAAAAATTGTCTTCCAAAAAAAGTTAGCACCATCAGAGAGAGAAAAAAGAAAACACTAAACCCAAATTATTGGTTGTATATTTGACGTTTAAATTTAGCACTGGTATAAGAGGATGCAAGTGCAGTGACTTCAAAGGAGTTATACTATGGTTGAATAAGACAGCAGGTATGCAGTTACCATATCTTTGGTCTGCTCCAGAAAAGATGGTCTCTTTAAAAAACAGAAAAATCTGTTACAGGCAGAAATCCATATGAAGCCACCTTCCTGTGGTCCTTCAGTGAAGACATAGGTATGATTATTAGGAAGACCAAAGAAGAACATGTAATAGCATAGTGTATTTTAGCATGTGGGAAGCAATTCTTGACACTATCATGCCTCTGAATTCCTGTGAATCCTTCCTGGTCTGTTTAACAACCCCAGACTCAATCACATATCAGGTGACTTGTCTGATGAATAAACTATTTTTAAAGCTGAATGGTTGTGGAGTCCTAAATGATACAAGAGTTGCTGAACAGTCAGGACTGTTTAATAAATATTTTGTGATTGCTGCATTAAGCTAGACCACTCACTCAGAGCAAATGAAGGTGGGAAGCATTCTGCCTACTCAACATTAGGAATGACTGAAAGTTCTCCTCTTCCCTCATCAAGTCCCACTTCTGATTTTGTAGGCTATTCAGAAGATAAATAAAATGGCTAGATTTAAAAAGGATAAAGGTAACAGATGCACACACTAAAAAGGAGGCCTGAGTAGGTATTTGCCCCACAGCAAAGTCTAGCTAAAGGCTTGAGTTTGTACAGAACTATAATGGTGTTGCTGCTCCTTCTTTCTTTCTTACAATTTGACAGTAAGCCATGCTGTTAAAAGAGAAGAGAAAAGAAAACCACACAAACTGGGTAAGAAGTGTAAAAGCACCGTACTTCTGCATAGTAATAAGGAGCATGTGAATGTCTGAAATATCTGCTAAAATCCTGCATCTTTTAATTTAAGAAGAAATTGTAGCCTTAGTGGTAATAATGGAAGTTTAATGGAATTATAGTCAGAATTTTGTACCTTGAACTACTTCAAAGCTTTTAGCCAAGACAGCTAATAGATCTGCTGCTACCAGAGGAGCAGCCATAACAATTAAAGAAGAAGTCACAGCTACCATTTCAAAATGTGTTTTAACAGTTCTCCTCATGAAGCAAGAGAACGCAAAGATAGCACCACAGAAACCCGCCTCACAGGTATCTCACGTTAAACGGCTTCTGCATTTCTCAAAAAATTCCCTAACCAGCAACTAGGAAACACAAGCCACGTGCAAAGCTTTGTCCCAGACTGAGACCGTTCTTGTGAGAAATGCTGCTATTTCAAAAGAAACCTGCCACAGCTAGCACATTGGGCAGCAGTCCTCAGCAAGCATTGTGACGCTGCCCGCATAGGTTCTGCTCGTTAAAACTCACTAAACTTCCTGGGTCTGCATGGACTGTTAAACGGTCTCATGGACAACAATGTTGCCTGCAAACCTTGAGATGGGGACCACTGATGGAGCAGAATACATCTTCACTGTGGAGTTTGTTCAGGTGACAGATAAATCAGGCAGGGGGGCCTAGGTTAGCCTAGCTCAAATGCAAGCATCCTCTCTGCAAAGCTCTACCCCAACGACTGTGTGTTTAAACCTGAAGCAGACAGAAAAGCTTGCTATGAAGGTTTAAAGTGGACTGAAATGCTACTGTTCGAAGGAAACTCGCCACAACTAGTGCACTGGGCAGTGGTTCTCAGCAAGCATCACCCATGGGCAGCATCAAAAAAAAAAAAAAAAAGTGTACCTGGAAAAATCAAGTTACAGTGAACTGTACAACTAGAAACCAGTTCCCAATCAGTGACTGTTGGGAACAGTTCAAAGGTAACATGTGTCCATACCCAGTCTCTTCACTGTTTCCACACTTGCTCCCATACCTCTGCGAACATATTCCGTAGTTTTTTGTGCTGAGCCAATCTAGACTTCTTTTGTATCATGGCTTAGTCTGTTCTTCAGGAGGGGGATTATGGGAACAAACTGGAGGACTATTAAGAAGTAAGCAATTCAATCTGCCTTAATTGCAAAGCAGGCAGGTTCCTGTCAGAGTTAAACGTGAAGCTCATTCTTTAACTAATACCCCCAGGTGTTAAGATAGGACAGCCATAAAGCATCATAAAACTCTGTTAAGTGACTTGTACATGTGGATGGCAAAAGGTTTGGGCTAAACCTGCAGTGGAGAGCTCTGATTAGCTATGCAGTAAAGACAGGCCCACAGAAATTGCAAGAGCAACCAAGATTAATGGTTATAAAAAGAGGGTCAGGGAAAAATGTACAAGACCAAAAAAGGGTGGTGGGGGGAGAAAGACCCAATGCAGGAAAAAATATCAATTCTAATTGAGTTAAAATGTAAGAAAAAAAAGAAACCAGGAATAAAGCATCCTCTTACCTCTATGCATTATCTTATGTTTTTCCCTCAAATATGTGAGACCTTTTATTACCTAGAAGCAAGTAAATTGAAAAATGTCAGAGTTTCCAAACCAGAAGAAATGAAAAATGGAGTTTCTTCTCCACAAGGATTCCAGAAGCGGCATCTATACTCAGAAGTTCATGGTAGAAATCCAGAGAGAAAGCAATTAGGCAATGCTCTCAAATTTACTTTCCCACTTGCAGTAAAAGATAGCATCAGAAAACCCCTTCCAGACATTTCATGGACATGGCCTACAGCAACACAGATATTTAAAACAATTACATTCAAACGATTTTCATAACTAAGTTGATTCAGGCATCTAAGAAGCGGAAAACCAAAGGAAACACCCAAATGGAACATGCAAAATCCATTAAATGCTCTTGGGTACAAAGTAATGACATATATGCAAGAACATCTACTATTTGCCACTCCGTAAACATCCAACCCAGCTCCTTTTGCCTTCTGGATTTGGCATTATTCTAGCATTATTATAGAATAATATAGACCCACTTTCCAGAGGAAATTACAATTCTACTTACAGCAATGCTAACTTTGCCCAAAATCTGCTCAGGAATTCTTCCTGCTTTTTTCAGCACTTGATCCAAGGATCCACCATCCTAATAATAAACATTTCCATATTAAAACGTTAAACCAAATCTATCCAAACACTTTACACAGGATTCTTTTTTCAGGAAGGATGTCTCTTTGCAAAGAATATACTGTTTCCCATTGCTTTATACTGCAGTGGTGTATTTCTGAAAGAAGTGAAGCTATTCACAATTAAAAAAAAGTCTTTAATAAGCATATCTTCTTGGGTGAACCATTGAGCCACTAACTTAACCAGTCCTCTGATCCTGTACTAGCTACAACGTCTTGGCCAATTCTTGTTCTGGAGGATTGTCTGATTAGTCACTAACTAAGCACTGGGCATGCAGTTAGCTTCCTAAGTTCCTGAGTCATATTCAGATACTTGTTAACTGCCTGTCCTCAATATGGGCAGGATATATTTGTATATTGTGAGCTGCAAAAGCCCAGGTAAAGGCAGCACCAGTCCTTACAATCAATGACCAAGGTAAAATATAGTACCCTGGTCCGACAGACAAGTATCCTATATAACAGTGCCAATCAGCACTTATAGTCATAGCGGTGGCAAGCCATATAAAAGTCTGAAGGCAGGCAGAAGGTAGGTCAGGGTGGCATCTTACACTAGCTGGTTTAAAGAGGCATGAGCTTTCATACACAACTTATGCTATCTGACTGGTTCATGCTGTCTGTTGAAATCTGATGAAGTAGGCTGTTACCTATGAAAGCTTATGCCTCTCTGAATCAGCTAGTCTCTAAAAGGAGCCAACCTGCCCTACCTTATGCAACAGCACTTTGGCTTTCACTGGTCCTACCCATAACCTAATCCTGTAAAATGCCCTGGATGTGAGGATACCGGTATGTCAGTCACACCACCAAATGGGGAGAAGGGGACATTTGGCTTCCAAGACTTACAGCTGGCTCGAACAAAAAGTAAAATATATTTAAAACAGAGTTGCTAAACAGACAGGGTTATTAATCTTACCACTCTTAAGCAAGTTAGACACATGCACAGAATTTAAATATATACCCCTGTTGCTAAGAGCTTCAGAGAAGAAAAACTTTGTAAATGGTATTTATTTTTAGCAGCTGATTATAATTTAATACAACAGTAACCTTGTGCCAATGTTCATGAACAGAAGCTACATAACAAAAGTGCGAGGTAAAAAGAACTTTCTTAAAATTAAAAGCAATATCCAAAGACTTGGCTGACAATTTTACTGTTGCAGCTTTCCTCAAATCATGACCCAACTTGTGACGGTTTTTCTGCTATTTTAACCCAGCACTGGGAAATATTCAGTCGCTGTTTATACTTCTAATGTAACCTGCAGTTATGACCCTTTATGCCGAGATCCTTTAATTCTTTACTGCCTGCATACCCCACCCCATATTGGCCTTGCCATGACTTTGCCAATGATCAGCATTTGCCGAACAAGCCTAGAACAACTTTCGATACTTTCTAGTCCTCTGGAACCTGCTCAGTGTCCAGGATTAGTTAAAAATTAACATGACTAGTTCAGAGAGCTCCTGAGGTGTGGTTCCTTCCTACCCTGCTTGGAAAGAAGTAATACAAATAGATTCATGTAATTGTAAGTATACATACCATCCCGATTCTTAACAGCTAGAGGACAGGAATATTTATTAATTACATTTTTATTTTCTGCATTATGATTGAGTTTCATCACCCTGGTTTACTGTCAAAACTACATGACTGGCAGGACTGTTCATTCCCAATATATTTAAGTAATTTATCTTTAACACTACTGACCATATATTTTTTACTGATACTTTTCCTATTTCCCCAATTCATTCTCTGTATTTTCTAACAATGTTTGAAACTCACTGCTATCAGATTTTTCATGTTTCCATTTGTATATGTATTTGGTAACAAATCAAAAACCAATCCTCCCTTCCTGCTCCCTCCCAGACAAACTGGTCTTATCCAGGATGGTTTTGAAGAAAAGCACAGTGATTTTAGGCATCTAACAAAGCATTCCTAAAAACTATGCTCAATTATCATTCACATCTTTAAATATTTCCCCCTCTCAGTTTTACTCAATCATTTCCAGCTTAAGGAAAGTAGCCTTTTTAAAGTCCCCAAGTATATCTATTATTTCAGAGCATCATATTGTTTGCATCAAATATATAGTCTATCATCGTCATTTGCACCAACATAGCTACCGATTTTTCCCTAAAGATTTCCTTTCACATTGTTAAAATTAAAATCACATATAATATCCACAGAAAATGAAGATGACTTCTTTTCATATACATAATTCTGTGGGGGAAAAAAACGGAGTTATTGCACAGATGTGATATATTTTAAATGTTTCAAAGCTTCCTCTACCTGAAAAGAAAGGGAGGGTTTTGTCTGACCTTTAATCACAAAAAAATTGCTCTAATCACTGCGTTCCATATGGCTAGATAAATGCTGGCAGATGTCAAGCATAATGTGTACTTTTCTATTAAAATGATCAGTTAAAAATAATGCTGCTTTAACAAAAAAAAATAAAATACAGTTGCATAATATCCTTCCAGTTTTGCCAGTTTTTTTTTTTTTTATATATATTCTTCTTTAATTTCTGTGTTTTTTCTAGAATTTCAGATAAGGTGAAAGAAGGGGGGTGTCTACAGCTAAAACCCACCATTGGGGTCAGGGCTCAGATGTTTTTAACACGCTGCCAAGAAAACCATCTCAGAATAGGTGGTGTTCACACAGTAAGACGTCTGTGCCCTTTTTACAGCAGTGCTCATAGGAAGGTTACTACTGATGTGGATGCACCCAATATAGCTGCAGCTGTAAGGAAACTTATTTTTTCTATGGCAGATAAAGTCAAAGTACGACATACTGCTTAAGAGCAATTCCTCCAAATAGTTAAATTACATGTTGGCTAGCAATAAAAATGGTACTGACAACATACATTTACAGACTACAGATGGGGAAAATAGGAGTTTATTGGCCTCTTAAGATACAGAGGAACAGTCCCCAGAGAAGAAGGGGGCAAAAAAGTGTGCAAGAAAAAAAGAACAGGAATTCCATTAGCAAAGGCAGGAAAAAAGTGTCAGTTGGATTTTGTATTAACACTGGTCTGGTAACTTCAAATACACACGTACATTTGTGTACCTACCATGTGTTCCATGCAAATGCTGATTTCTCCATCACTGTAAAAAGCTCCATAGAAGCCCACTATATACGGAGAGTTACATTCATGCAGAACTTGCAGCTCACGAATGATTTGGTTCCGAATAGCTGGTTTGATTTCTAGGTGAATTAACTGTAAAATAAACAGTTTTTTCTTCTTCAGTGGCAATGGCCTTTACAATCAAGGCAAAAAATAATTTTGAAATGCACACAAAACACCACAAGATCTGCATACATCACTATTGTCAACATCTCAACCATTATGTGAACGGAAAGCCTCCAAGAATAGGTTGATCTCTATGCTCACCTTGTTGCTAATTCTCTATTAGAGTGCCAGTTGCAAAATGTTGTCTTGCTATGTGAACACCAGGCCACTAGAAACTGAACAATTACAATACAATGCTTTCAGTAACTAAGTCCATCTTCATTATTTTACTGAAGGCATGTAAAGTTAAGCTGCTTTAAGGTTCACACTTTTGTTCAAACGAGCAAACTTTTTTCTTTCTGTATTTTTATCCATCTTTGTCACAATTCACCCGGGACGGATGGTGTATGTTCTTGTAGATCTCACTAATACCGACTGCTCATGCGTGTTCACAGTCAAGTCACCCAGAACCGAGCACCTCTGTTCTAGATCCACAAAGAATAATCACCACTTTGTTGGCAGTATGCTGGAGGCATTTTCTCCTCAATTTAAAAACAATCAAAAAAAAAAAGTCTATATTAACAGAAAAGCAAGTTAAGTTTTCCAACCTGAAATAATGACTAGAATATTGTTCTTTTGATAAAAAATGAGACTGTAATTAAGACAAGTACATCGAAGTATTAAAACCGGCTACTCATTGTTTTCTGACAACTGCAGTTGTAGAGAACCATTAATTACAGCATGAAAGGATAGCTGATGTTTGGTATTTATGCTTTGGATTTTGCTCTCATCTTTTTGTGAAATTCTTCAGTAAGAACATTTTACTTGGATGCATTATTTATTGATTTTATTTAGTTACTGTTGATGGGCCTACTTAAAACTACTTAAGACCATCTGGACTGAAGAAAATCAACAACTGAAATTTAAAAAGGGAACATGTCACAAGGCCTACTGACTAGCAAGCAGCTGCAGAAAGATGTCTGCCCAGATGTTTGCAAAGCAATGTCCCAAGCATGTTCAGTGAAAAACAAACTCCAGTTAAGCCTCAGGCATTTTTATTAAAAACATCATTTAACCACACGAATCCATTTCTTAATGGAAACTATAAAGTTATTACTTCAGTAGACTAGGCTTTCCTAGAGGCAGGATAAGGTGGGTTTCTTTCTTTCATAAATGGGCAGATCTGGGGGAAAAGTCTATAGAGAAGAGTCCTACTGAGTTCATTGAAGAAAAGCTGTAGCTCAGTAAACAAACACCATCTCTTACATGATATTAAGTCAATTAAACTTCAAAATTACAAATATACTGAGCTGTAGTTTCCTGTAAGTGTCACAACGTGGGCAGGGGGGAGGAGGGAACAATCCCATGCAAGAGACCTTCACCATCTATACCCTTTATCTCCCACCACTCAAAAACAGCCAGCTCTCCTGGTTTCACACAAATTTGACAGTAAAGCATCAAATAGGAGAGTCATCACTGAAGACGGCCGATAAGAAGGCATGTATTATTCTCATTTTTATCAAAGTTCACAGGAAGAAAAAGTGGTATTTTCTTCAAAACTGTCTAAGGAAAAAAAATTAAAAATATTTTTTCAGTTCTCAGCAAAAAACTTGTAACATTTCCAGTCAAAAGGTAAAAAGCTTAGCTTGGGAAATTCCACGGTACTTCACAGGATTCAGAATTTGAAGGTCTGGTGCCCCCATTCTCCTCTGTAGGCTGGTGGCCCTGGCGGGACTACATTTCCCACGATGCACCTGGACATCTCGTCTTGCTGAAGCACCACCATACCTTAAGATAGTTAGCCAGGTTAGCCTGAAGTCAGGCAGAAGGCAGGACAGGGTATTACCTTAGAGACTAACTTGTTTAGGGAGGCATAAGCTTTCACAGGCAACTCTACTGTTTCATTGCATCTGACGAAGTCGGCTGTAGCTTACAAAACCTATGCTGCCCTGCACTAGCTGGTCTCTAAGGTGCCACCCCATCCTGCCATCGCTCAAAGTATTGAAGTAGTCTGAGTAGGGAAACCAACCCACAGGGAGCAGAAGCACAAGGTACTTGCACAATAATTTTCATGAGGCACCACAAACGCATCCCCCTCCACCCCCCTCCCATTTTTGTTTGGGGAGGAGGGGTCCTCAAATGAAAATGGTGCTTAGTTTCTCAAGGTTCACATTTTTCAATTAAATAAAGTTTCCATATAGGACAGCCCCTCACAAGAAATACTAGGCAAAATCCTAATTTTTCAGTTGAAAAACATTTGAGGGGCGGTTTTTAAACAGCCCTGTTACCTCTTCTTACAAATGTAGCCATTTGGTAGGGTGCTAACAAACAAAATTATTAAATTATATTTCTGATAAAGGCACCAAGTCATGGGCTTTGTTTTGCTTTAGCTTCAGGGCAATCTTCTTGTACAGCCGGAAAAACTTTATGGGAGGACAAGTGTGTAGTGAAAGGGCTCTTTCTGCAAGGCACTGAAGGAGCAGAGGGAAGAAAGCAGATCCATTAACGTTTTTCACTCCTACAGTACGGATCTCGATACTGCAGTAGAAACCAAAAAGTAGGCCCATTTCTATACTACAGGACTGTGGAGGAAGTGTTTAGGGCAGAATCTCTTGCTACTCCTCCAGCCCCAAGATATTTCCATCCTTAACCCCCCCCCACCCACATTCATGCTTTGTAATTTGTTATAAGTATTGCGTGTTAATACTGAGGTCTTGTTATGCATTTAGCCACAGAAGACAATATTTTGGCCAGAAGTAAAATACAACATACATCCCAAAAATACAGAAAGATAAAACATTGGAATGGATTACTTGGCCTTTCACTGGTAACCCAAGGAATATACGCCACCTCTGCAGGCTGGATAAGTGAGAGGTAAAGAAATTTAACCTTTCCTGTTTTTAGAAGGCATTTTCAATTGCCCTCAAAGTAGATTCTCAATGTCACTTTTTGATGGGTGTAAGGGTTGCAATTCAATTGAATTAATTCAACATATTTATTTAAAAAAAAAAAAAAGCTTTGAAAAGGCATTGTTAAAGGCTCCTACAGTCCCCAAGGCTCTCACCTTTCTTGCCATAATGAGGCCAGAAGGTTTGTGAGATACTTTGAAGACCACACCTCCATTTCCTGCTCCCAGCTCACTGATCTTCTCAAAATCGTCATCCTTCAACTCCCCAACTTTCTGCTTCTGGGTAAGGAAAGCTTCAAGACGTTTGCGTTGCTGTTCATCCAACTCCAACTCCTCCAACTTCTTCTGAAGTGCTTCTAAATTTGTCCTGTACAGCACAGAGAGAAAGAGCACTAAGTTGATTATTAAAGCTTTCAGAGGGGGAAAGAAATACACCACTTTGTGTGGCCCTGAATCTCTGTAGTTACATCATCATCTAGGCTCGGGCCATGTTCTCCAGCATGCACACCACACAACCATGTCCTTCCTATATGGAAGTAGCAACATATTTTAAGTTGTATTCTAAAACAAATAATATAAAACAGGAAGATAAATGTATTGCTTTGCCATCTTTGAGGCATTGGCCCAAAATTGTGTCTGATGTAATTTCATTACCACTGAGTGGGCTCAGTGATTCAGCACTGCTGATCAATGATTTGATGAATCACACCTCAGCACAAACTATTCTGGGATTCAGATGTTAAGAGGAGGTGCTTTGCAACTTCATGAGAATTTGTCTAAAATATTTTAGCCCCCAATCTTCATGTGTGATTATGTAACTGACAAACCATTTAAAAACCTAACACATGGCTTCTAATGAAAATAAAGCATTGACTCTAAAATAGAGTAATTAAATCATTCAAAACATGCATAAGAGAAGAAAGAAACTTAACATGTGCAGTATGGGAATAAAATTGTGTTCGTTTCAACAGAACCCAGTCAAAAAGGTTTAAATTCCACTTGTTCTTGTGGTCAGCTACACATCACCAGTTTGATTTGCAGGGTCAGCTTCTCAGTTAAGAGCGGGGGAGAAAAGTAATTATTTGTACCAAGTCTTAACAGGATGTCACATCTGAACAAAACAGTATATCCAGACAGGCATCCATTCAAATATACAGACTCCTGCTTCCAATAACAACCACAACAGCTGCATCAGCAAGCTTCTAAGGCCTCCAAACTTGCTTAGCCAAATTATAAAGTACTTCTCAACGTACAACCACAATGGACTAGGTGCTGCTGGCTAAGCACTCCAGGAACCGGCTCCCAGTTGTATAGAGTAAGGGTGGCCAACCTGAGGCACAAGTGCCACAAACAGCACAGCCATCCTTGGTGTGCTGCATATGGCAGACTGGAGAGGAGACCGGCAGCACGACAGCAGCTAGGGCAGGAAGCCAGCAGGGAGCACACAGCAGGGAGAAGGCGGCAAAACAGCAGATCAGGCAGAGGAAGGAGATCGGATTGGCACTTGGGGAGGGAGCCTCTTGTGGGCTCAGATCAAGTGATAAAGAGATTAGTCCTCACTGCCTTACAGCATACACCACAGGTCCCTTGTTAAAAATCCTTCCTAGTGAAAGAGAAGGATAAAAGCCTACAAAGCCATCACCAAATATTAGTTCATCTCGAGCAGGTCCAGGGAGGTGATCCTCCCCCTCTATGCAGCACTGGTCAGGCCGCAGCTGGAGTACTGCGTCCAGTTCTGGGCGCCGCACTTCAAGAGGGATGTGGACAGCATGGAGAGGGTCCAGAGGATGCCACTCGCATGATCAGGGGACAGCAGGGCAGGCCCTATGAGGAGAGGCGACAGGACCTGAACCTGTTCAGCCTCCACAAGAGAAGGCTGAGGGGGATCTAGGGGCCTGTTACAAACTAGTCAGAGGGGACCAGCAGGCACTGGGGGAGTCCCTGTTCCCCCGAGCACTGCCAGGAGTGACCAGGAATAACGGTCACAAGCTGGCAGGGGGGAGATTCAGACTAGACATCAGGAGGTGTTACTTCACGGTCAGGGCGGCTAGGGTCTGGAACCAACTTCCAAAGGGAGGTGGTGCAGGCTCCTACCCTGGGGGGCTTCAAGAGGAGGTTAGATGAACACCTTGCTGGGGGTCGTTTGACCCCAGTACTCTTTCCTGCCACGGCAGGGGGTCGGATTTGATCTGCTCAGGTCCCTTCCAACCCTAGAGACTATATCGTTTACTTTCAAAACCATACCCTAGAGAAGAATGCACTTTATGTTCCTAGCAAAATGCCAACAAATTGCTGGGCTGAGAGAAAGATTCTTCAAATAACATTGACAAGCGATCCTAATCTAGCAACAGGAAGCATCAGACTTGTGACTTTCCCTATGTTACTTCTGAAGACTTGTCCCCAAGGACAAAGACAGTTCCTAAAAGCCCACTCCTTGCTTCCACAGCAGACATGGAATTAACATCAACGAGGTGTAAGCAGCTCCAAGTAAGAGCCCCTTTCTGAGAAAATGCAATTCAACCATCAAAAACCTCAAAAACAAAGCAAAAAACCCCCAAAAAACTGAAAGGGTCTAACACTTCTAAGTCTTAATAGCCCTTCTCCAAACCAGGGTCAATCTGAAGGTTTGAATACCACTATATTCCTATACAAGTTAGCAGTTTAAGCAGCCAAGTGAAACAAGGCACAATCAAGGCAAGCTTAATTATAAGCTCTCTCTTTATTAGGTAGACTGCATATAGAATATGAAGGTTTTTATTCAGTACTGATTTCTGTCCTCTTTTGCAATTAATTGAAAATGTTTCAGCCCAGCCAACAAATTAGTTCATCCTCCCTTATCCACAGGCTGTTAAACATATAATTTTCCTTGCTTATCAAAAAGTATCAGATGCATACAAACAACTGACTCTGGACAAGGGAATTGGTGAGGCTCTGCTCACCAAGGTGGCCCTGGGGGTCACAAGAAATAATGGCCATAAGCTAGCAGAGAGCAGATTTAGACTAGACATTAGGAGTTACTTCTTCACAGTTACAGTGACCAAGGTCTGGAACAGGCTCCCAAGGGAGGTGGTGCCCTCCCCTACCCTGGGGGTCTAAGAGGGGTTTGGATGGGTCTCTGGCTGGGGTCATCTGAACCCAGCACTCTTTCCTGCCTATGCAGGGGGTCAGACTCAATGATCTCAGCCACAAGACAAGGCTGAGGGGGGATCTTGTGGCCTGTTACAAACTGGTCGGGGGGGAGAGATCAGCAGGCATTGGGGGAGTCACTGTTCCCCCGAGCACAGCCAGGAGTGACCAGGAACAACGGTCACAAGCTAGCAAAGGGTAGATTTAGGTTAGACATCAGAAGGCGCGACTTCACGGTCAGAGCGGCTAGGGTCTGGAACCAACTTCCAAGGGAGGTGGTGCAGGGTCCTACCCTGGGGGTTTTTAAGAAGAGGTTAGATGAACACCTTGCTGGGGTCATTTGACCCCAGTACTCTTTCCTGCCATGGCAGGGGGTCGGACTAGATGATCTTCTCAGGTCCCTTCCGACCCTAGAAACTATGAAACTAGGTCCCTTCTGACCCTAACATCTATGAATCTATGAAAGTGTAATTTTGCAAGACTCCTCAATCCTACAGGCTTGTTTACATGGTAAAGTTTGCCAGCATAACTATAATCATGAAAGAGTCAGCTCACTATGCTAGAACAGGTCCCTGTGTGAATGCTCTAGTGAAGATTAAAAGCCATTTTATTCCAATACAATTACCCCACTTCCAAATCACTCTATGTATACCAAAATAAGGTCACTTTTCTTGGAATCATGGAAAGTTAGGGATGGAAAGGGCCTCAGGAGGTCACATCTAGTCCAACCCCCTGCTCAAAGCAGGACCAGCCCCAACTACATCATCCCAGTCCACACAGGTCTTAAAAACCTCCAAGGATGGAGTCTACAACTTCTCTGGGTGACCTGTTCCAGTGGCTTACTACCCTCCTTGTGAGGAAGTTCTTCCCAATATCTAACCTTAACTTCCCTTGCTGCAGCCTGAGCCTATTGCTCCTTGTTCGTGCATCTTCCCTCAACTGAGAACAGTCCAGCTCCATCCTCTTTTGAACCCCTTCAAGTACTTGAAGCTTGCTGTCATGTCTCCCTCCCCTACTTCTCTTCTCCAGACCCAATAAGCCCAGTTCCCTCAGCTTCTCCTCACAAGTCATGTCCCCCAACCCCCTAACCATTTTTGCTGCCCTCCACTGGACTCTCTTCAATTTGTCCACATCTTTTCTGTAGTGGGGGGCCCAAAACTGGACACAGGACTCCAGATGTGGCCTCACCAGTGCTGAATGGAGAGGAATAATCACTTCTCGCAACCTGTTCACAATACAGCCCAGGACGCTGTCAGCCTTTTTCACAACAAGGACACTGCTAGCTCATATTGAGCTTATTGTCCACTGCAGCCCCCAGGTCCTCTTCTGAAGAGCTGCTGCTTAGCCAGTTGGTTCCCAGCCTGTCCCGGTGCAGGGGACTTTGCACTTGTCCTTACCAAGCCTCATCAGATTTCTTGTGGTCTAATCCTCCCATTTGTCTAGGTCTCTCTTAATCCTAGCCCTACCCCCCAGCATATTAACTACAAAGCCTCTGGAGACAGCTTGGGGTGGGCAAGCAGGAAGCCAGCCCTGGATGCCTGTACTTTCAAAGTGTATGCATCACTACATGCAATAGAGATACATGACAAAGCAATGGTAAGTGTATTGTTTCCCCTGCTCCCCTTCCCCCATAGTTTACTCCTGCTTCAAGAAAGAACCACATACTCAAGTCTGTTCTCTTATTGCTAAGCTTTTGATTATAGTGCTTGGCCATTTGACTAACCTATAAGTTACAAACACTTCAAAAGGCCCGAGACACTCTGGCTTGGTAAACAGACATAAGAAGAGCGTTAGTATATTTTCTTTGAAAATATGAGCTGCCTGTTCCGGTGTTTACATTTTTGGGTCAGGTGCAGAAACTGCTCACACCATTACTTAAGTGTTTATAGTAAGGTAATAAAAAAAGTACTTAACACACTTTGGGGAGGAGTTGAGTAGCCCACAGTGGCAAAAGAACAGGTTAAGAGACTGTTAAGAAAACCTGGACACGTACAAGTCCACAGGGCTGTCTACAATGCAACTGAGGGTGCTGAAGGAGTTGGCCAATGCAATTGTAGAGCCACTGGCCATCATCTTTGAAAATTCATGGTGATTGGGGAAGGCCCTGGATGATTGAGAAAGGGCAAATATAGTGCCCATCTTTAAGAAAGGGAAGAAGGATTCAGGAAACTACAGACTGGTCAGCCTTGCCTCAGTCCCCAGAAAAAAAAAAAAAAAAAAATCATGGAGCAGGTTCTCAAG